CTCTCTCTCTCTCTCTCTCTCTCTCTCTCTCTCTCTCTCTCTCTCTCTCTCTCTCTCTCTCTCTCTCTTTCTTCCCACCACTCCAGCCTGCCGACCCCTTTCTCTCTTACTTCGTTTCTTTTCTTTTTGTTTCATTCTCTTTTTCCTTTTTTTTTGTACCTTTTTCACAAATTTTAGCGGCATACCAGCCGTTCCCTGCTAAGTGCCCCATCCAACGCGGCCGTTACCGCACCGTGTCGGGAAACAATAGCTGGGCAAGGTACTGGTGGTTTAAGCCACCAGTACCAGGCTTTCCCCGCTTGAAAAACAAACAAGCAGCTATTACGCGGCCTCAACTCTCGGGGGTCGGTGTTCTGGACCAAAATGGCCGGCGGCGGCGGCCAAAATGAGTGCACCGTTTCACTCTTCTCAGCACGCAGGGCATTTTCTAGCTGGGCAAGGTACTGGTGGTTTAAGGGGGATGCATGTGCACGCAGTTGCCATGCCAAGTTCAGACAAAAACACTCTAGTCCGACTATGCCTGTAGATTACAGATGAACACAGTTGATGCCAGGTTCAGACAAAAATAACACTCTAGTCAACGTACAGATTCCAATATATCATACCAGGTTCAGACAAAAAAAACACTCTAGTCAATGTACAGATTCCAATATATCATATTTTGACGATGAGTTCAAAAATCCGAGGAGTTCCTATCTTGACAACGACTCCAAAAATCGCGGGAAAAGAAAAGATGGTGTAGACTGGAAGAAATGCAAACAAACTTCTTTTGGCTGTGGGTGAGATAGGAAGTCCTCACTGAATCAGAGAGAAGAAAGGAAGTTACAGAATCAGAACAAGGCACCCCCATTAGCACACACCTTTAGACACTTTAACACCAATTTATACCCTTCTTCCCCCCTCCCTGCGCCTCTGCCCCCGCCCCCCCTACGGCTGAGAGCCAACACTCGAAAACAGAAAAGAGCTCAGAATTGGGCTCTTTCGGGTTTTCCATGGGTAAGCGCCACTGCCCCAAAAAGAAAAAAAGACCACTGATTCCCATGCATGGTTAGCCCGGGCGACTTGCCCAGATGCCTGGCCTCGGGCTGCACGGCCAAGCGGCGGACCAACTAGCCCAGTCAGATAACCGATGCTAAGTTGCTAACTAATGTTTAACTAATCCGTGCGCCTTCATCCCGGCATCCCTGCTAATAGCGTGCGAGAGAAAGGTTCCAACTCCCAGTAGGGGACGCCATATTTTTGCTTTGTAATGATTCTAATGATATCTATGGCTGCAGGCTGCTGGTCATAATAGATGGAACCCAACTGGGAATGCTGCCTGACTGCCACTGTAGTGTAGATCTACGGCTAAACACTTTAAATATGAAAAATAAACAAAGTTCCACAAACTTTTATTTTTTTTTCAAAGAATGGTGATGGCCTGGAGATATTATCATTGGACTGACGAGCCCACGCAAACTCAATTGTCTAATCTGACATGATGGCCTTGTCCAATTTCAGCCCAGGTTGGCCTTAGTGCCTTTCGGGAAACCGTTAGCGGCCATCTATAGATTCTATACTCTCGCATGAGAGGACGAGGCTCCACCCTGCGTCACAGGCACTGGGTGGGCGACACAGGCACACAGGCCAGGGGACAGGCGGTAGCAAAGGGAGCGAGCATCATCTGAGAGGCCAGTCGCTGTGCTTCCCTGATCACCCCTCCCCCAGGATGGCCTTATTGCGACCAGGGAGCCCCCCTGTGGGCAACACACCGGCCAGGGGTCAGCTGATAACAGAGGGACCGAGCATCATCTGAGTGGCCAGTCGCTGTGCCTGCCCGATTACCCCTTCCCGCCGTGAACATCAGCGGGGACTACTTTACGCCGCCAATCGGGGGGACCAATGGGCTTTCTCTTGGTGGCAGGCGCCAAGCATGCGCAGGACAGTACAAGAGGCCGACAGGAATTGAACCCGTCTGAAGACAAAATTATCGACACACCGCCCGGGAAAGCTTTTCACCGCCATGCTTGGCGCCGGTGGTCGCGGCACGAAGTTTACACGCCCCATCGTTAGAACTACACCACCGCAACAATGTGGGGAATACCCGAGATTGCCTAGGTGGGAAATTCCAGTAGAATAGAGGGCCGTATGATAGATAGGTGACTCTCTCGTACGCTTCGGAGAGGACTCGAGTCCCGCTGGCATGTTTTGCCTCCACGACTACCCGCCAGACATCCCTGCCACCTTCGGTACCTTCTGGGGAAAAAAATGGTTCGATCTTTTCAAAGTCGAAGAGAAAACGTTGTGAATCAGTCAGCAATGGATGAAAAATAACTTCCGATGGATTCGGGAAAAAGGGGAGGGAAAGAAAAAAAAAATTGGAGTTGCTTATCGCCGTTATCGGTAAATATAATTTTCCTCTATTCCTCCAAACACATGCCAAAAAAAGTTTAAAAAGGAGAATACATAACAAGATCAATGTGGTGACATTTCAACATTTGTTAGTAACTTCGAAATTTGAGAGATGAAACATATCGCGGAACCCGTGAACTGAGATTTCAAACTTGTCAGCCAGAGTGGTTTTTGCACCCTTTCAGGGGAACCGAACCCCCACCAGTTCTATCCTTTTCTGCAAACTGAGAGAGTCGAGCTCCACCAGTCCCAAGAGGACTACCGTCTTCACCCCAACAGAATGCCCGGTCATTATCGCTGCATCTGGACCAAACTTTGTGCCAAATGAATACAGCTGTAATGACCAGGTGTTCTATTCGGTTGAAGACGGTGAGGTGGTGGCACCATCCGGTGTCAAGCAGTAGCCCTAGCACTAGCGTGGAGCATAATTTGGAGTCGCCGCACATCCCCTCTGCAGTACAGCGGCAGTGTCTACTATTGCGGCTCCAGTGGTGGGGAACCAAGTGCGCCCACCAGTGTCTACTATTGCGGCTTCGGTGTGTGGGGCACCAAGTGTGCCCAGGCAGGTATATATATATATCGTCAATATATATATATATATATATATATATATATATATATATCGTCAAATAGAACTGCCCGGTAAACCGTAGGCAGAGAGGGAGAAGAGGACAACAA